AATCATTATAATCTGTCAATAAATCTGCACTTGCACATTTATATAAAGTGTGTAAGCATGCGATCGGGCGTGATATTATATAGCATTCATCCACACTTGTGTGGGCGCCTGGATACACATTATAATATCATTATTTTTTTTTTTTCAAGTATTGAAAGCAATACGTTTAAAATTTGACAATATGAATTCAATGGAACTTAGAAATTTTTTTTATCTACAGAATCGGCCACATACGGTCACTGTACTAGAATAACAACAAAACAAATATCATTAATTAATAATAATTCAAACGTGGAATTTTATTTTGATTATTAAAAATTTTTCATACCTTGAATTTAATAAAATTTTATAAGCTATAATAATTGATAAAAAATTACTTTTTAATACCCGGGTTATGTTTAGATATTTATTGTCTGACCAAAGCAAGTTTATATACTACTTGACTAAAAAGCTCGGCGGGTTATGTTTAAAAAATCCGCCTGACTGAATTAAGTTTATACCACTTGATTCAAAATGCCGATCTCAATAAAATAAAATAAGATAAGTAATAATCAGTTTTTGCCAGAAATTTAACGACTAAACTAACATAGTGATGTCACCTAACTATCTAACTAGTAAAACATCAACTCTATATACTCTTCATTTTTAGATCGTTAATGAAGAAATCTTTTGATTAGAAGATAATAAACACAAATTTTATATCTTATTGGCAATAAACTAATTATTAATAACATACTAAAAAAAAAAAAAAATAAATAAATAAAATCAAGTTTTTATAATTTAAATAATTTTTTTATACCGATATCTATTTTTTCTGCGCTCGTGTTTTAAAACACACTTTCTGCTCGTTGTAAAAAAACTTTTTTATATTTTTTAATAAAAAAATGAAATTATTTTAAGGATTAAAAAAAAAAATCTCGAGTAATTATTTATTCAAATCTTTTATTTTTAATTAATACAAATGTACGATATCAATTATTATAATTACTCATTAATAATTAATTTAATCTTAACCTAATTGTTCACAATAAATCTTCATTATTATTTATAAATAATTACAGAATAATAACCTTAACTATTTTTTTAAATCATTACTCATAATAACCATTAATCATTAATTATTATTATTATTGTTGTTGATCCGATCGATTATTAATCAAAACAGTAATATCAGTTAAAAATCTAAATAAAAATACTTATTAAATCCAGTCGATTTTAATTAACAATTAATAATTAAAAATTTATGTTATTATTTAATAATAAATAATTAACGATTTTTTGTTTTTTTCGTCAATTATTTATTATTAATTTTATTTTTAATGATTACGCATCATATTTACAATGGACGTGATGCTTACTTGCTAAATAAAAATAATAATTAATTAATTAATAAATATAAATATACAAAAAGTAATTGATATTTTCTTTTTAGTTCAATTTTTTTATTTTTATGTCTTTTATGGTTTTTTTTTTTTTTTTTTTTTTTTTTT